GGCGCCCTCTTGAGGTGATTCGTGCCCTTATGAGAAGCTTCCTGTTTGGGAGCACTAAGCTATCATGGTAGCTGCCTCCAAACCAGGACGAGAGCCGTCACCAGAACTCAGCTATGCTGCCGTCCTGATCCCGGAATTCCAGCCTCCACAATTGTGAAGAAATAAATAACTGTTCTTTAAGCCACCCAGTCTGTGATACTTTGTTATGGGACTTGTGGCTAAGGCAGCAAACAACTTGGATCGTTTTCTGTACCACAGTTCTCAAAAGTAAAGCTCAAAAGGCTCTGTGGAGGGAACCAAGGGAATCGGGTCCTTACTGAAACTGTCTTTATTAAATGGGCATTTTACAGTTTGGCATGAAGTATGGAGCTACAAGTCACAAACTGGAGGAAGGATTCTACCTTGTGTGGGCTTTTTCTTTCTGTCATCTTAGATTTTTCATTGCAGTTTTTGTGAAGTTCTAAGGACAGCACATGACTGAGTATACGCACGTTGGAGGATTTTTCTTAGAGATGGAAACCCACATCTGTCACTGATGATGATCTTGGAAGGAGAATACTTTCTACGTGTGGTCTTCTAACCCTTTGCAAAGATATAAAAAGAAAAGTGACATGTCCTGTAGGCAACTTCATGGTTCTTTTACAGTATTTGGAAGCAGCCTTGTAAATATTAAGCAGAAACACATGTGTATAGTTAGAAGTTAAAAAAATCTAAACATCATTCTTGAAGAACTAATAATCAAACTTTGGTTCGTCCATGTGGTTTCCGAAAAGGTTTTTTATTACAAATTTCAGAGATATATAGGAAAGGGAGGGAAAATTTCTTTTCTTTGAAATAAGATTATCAATATAGATAATCTTACTGGAAAAATACAGATATTTTAAGACTATCTGGCAAATGGTCAGTTAAGACTGATCCGTAGTTGAATTCTGTGATGAACTAAAGGACTGGCATAGTTTTAAGTCCCTCCAGGTCTCATCAAGCTCTGCCCCAGAACAGCCATGCGTATAGTCAGGTGTGAGGACTGGGACAGAGTAGAAAGGGCCTGGGCTCTGACTTCCTTAGGGATTCAGTGTCAGGTGTCCTGCTTAACAACTGTGCAACTTCAGGTAAGCTCCTTTCAATGTGTGGAAAAGGGGGTTCTGGGCTCAGTTGTTTCCCCCAAAGTCTCATGTTGAAGCCCTAGCGCCTACTACAGCAGTACTGTGAGATAGGACCGTCAAAGAGGTAATAAGGGTAAATGAGGTCCTAAGAGGGGGGCCCCAATCCAGTGTGACTGGTGTCTCAGAAGAAGAGGGTGAGACCCTTGGATGCACAGGTACATGTGAGGGCACAGTGAGAAGTCTCCTGTCTACAAGTCACAGAGAGAGCCCTCAGGAGAAACCACACTGCCAACACCTTGAACGTGGACTTCTCACTTCCAGAACTGTAAGAAAATTAAATTTGTATTGGTTAAGTGACCCAGTCTGTGGTATATTGTTACAGCAGTCCTAGCAGACTGATAAAAATGGATATCATCATGGGAGAATGGTGCATGGGAGAATACTATGCAAACCGCCCCCACCTTGCAGATGAGGAAACGGAAGCCTTAAAAGCTTATGTAATTTGTCTTAAGTCACATAGAAAGTGGCAGAATCATAAATCCAGCATTAACGTCTATTCTTTCCACTATGCCATGCCACGTACTTAAGTAGCTTCCTAGATGCTGAAGGTTATTAATGCAAGAGAGCCACTGTAGGTGGTTTCTGCAGTAGATACACACCTGTGGGTTGGCTTCTCTTGTAGGGCTGTATTCCTGCCCACCCACAGAGGTTTGCTCCTGCATCCAGCTGGGCTACATAGATGCCTGCGGTGAGACTCAAATATCTTCTCAGAAAAGGACTTTTTAATCTGCTCAAGCATTTGACCCAGGTATTCACGTGACACTCCAGCGGTGTGTGCCAAAGGCATGAGGCCGATTTGGCCTAACGAGTGGTAAGGGCATGTGTTAACCATCAGTAAGGCCTTTCCTTGCAGAGTCTGGTTTCTGAGAACTGCCTGCAGACAGACATGTAGACAGAAGCCTGAACCAGGATAAGGTGGCTGCGGAGTGGAATGCTGAGATGCCACATGGATGACTTCTCACGCATGAGATTGTTTTGCATTGGACTTTAACCAAGGAGAATGTCTGTCAGTGAAATAATTATATTTTGCTTATAGTTGCTACTAAGTTTTTCTTTCCAGTAGTTATAAACAATGTAATTGACTGTTTTAAGACCACTCCCTATTAATGATGAAATTTAATAAAGGTGTTTTTCTTCCCATTTAACCATGACATGTTATATTAAAATTTTTGTTACTTTAAGACTTTTTAGAGTAGTTTCAGGTTTACAACAAAATTGACAGGGAGGGAGAGAGATTTCCTGTATATTCTTGACCCTACGCATGTATAGCCTCCCCCATTATTAACCCCATTCTTCCACCAGAATGGTTTTTTGGTTTTTTTTGACCAAGGATAGAACCTACATTGACACCTCATAAGCACCCAAGCATTCACTCTTGGTGTTGTACATTTTGTAGGTTTGGACAAATATCAATATATAATCACATATCTCCATCATTATAATATACAAATTATCTTCACTTACCTTCATAAAAATTCTGTGTTCTGCCTATTCATCTTTCTCTACCACCACCCTGCAAACACTAATCTTGTGTCTCCATAGTTCTGCCTTAGTTACATTTACATAGAAGAGAGTAGAAAGCAGTCCTTCTAATGCTAATTGAAACTGAATTTAAGATTTATGGAAAGGCTTTTTCCAAAATTAATCATGCATCACTCACAACAACATGGGTTTGAACTACGTGGACATGCCAATTTTTTTTCCCAATAAATATGTCTTACGATTTTCTCTGGCATACTTTATTGCAAAACTGTGGTACCTAATACATATAATATACAAAATATGGTGTTAACTGACTTGTCATTGGTAAGGGTTCTGGTCAACAGTAGGCTATTAGTAAGGTTTTCAGGGAGTCAGAAGTTATACACCGATTTTCAACCGCTGGGGGATTAGACCCCCCCTAACTCCCCGTGCCTCCACATTGTTTAAGGGTCAACTGTACTATTCTCTGATTTTGTGTATGTTTGAGATTTTTCATAATAAAAGGCTTTTTAAAAATAAGCAAGATTGACATTAAAAACATTTCTACCCTGATTCTAACAGTAATGTCATAGATTCAGACTTTGAAAAAGCTTCTAAGATAGAGATAAAATTACTCACATATCTCAACTTGTGAAATCAAAGGCTGATGAAGGATGGATGACTGCTTCCAAACCTCTTAGGTATTTCTTAAGTTTATCTTGGTCAGAAAATCAGTAATACAGCAGTTCATCCAGAATCCATTGGGTTCTTGTGCAAGTATGGCAGATGCTGTCAGTACCACATGACATATCCTCTCAGCATGTACCCCTTCAAGGGCCTGCCATCTGGTTCCCAAAGTCTGGCACCTGAGACTCTCTGCCTGACCTCTTTTCTCTGGTCTTTGGAGACAGCTCTATTTACCTGCGTTGTTTATGGTGACATTAAACAGAATAGGGAATAAGTGATAACACTTGGTTTAGGGTTGGAAGAGATGACTTGTGATTTAAGGTATCTGTGGATCATGGAGAGGGTGATGTGTGTTAGGTGTTGAATACAAGGCCCTATGCATGGCTTACAGAAGTCAAATCTGGTTGCCTGCTTTTTCTCCATTTCCCCATCGCAAACTATGCTTCCGCCACATCTGACTGCTGTCTCTTGACTCTCTCGGTTTGCAATGGCTCTTCCCTCTAACTGGAATACTTTTTTGTACCCCGCCCTGTCCATTCTTCAGGCAACTCCTGTTCCTAACACAATGAGGATAACATTAGAACACCTCACAGGACTATTAAGAAGATTAAATGAATTAGACATTTAAGGCACTTAAAACAGAGCATAGCACATAAAGTGCTCTATAAATATTTGCTATTACTATTAGTTGCTATTTTATAAGACAGTCCGCATCATCTATTTAAAAAATACTTTTAAAAGAATTGTAGTAACAGTCTTGCCAAATAGTGCCGTTTTAAAACAGTGACTGTTCTGGTCTTTTAAAAATGTTTTCACAAACTGTTTAAGTAATTTTTCCCAGCCCTTTTTTCCTTCTATTTACCCTTTAAGTTGCTTCTTTTTTTTTTTTGGATTGCTGTAATCTGTATGCTACTAATCTTTTATGCCTGTGTTGCATTTCATTGTTTTCTTACACATTTCCTGATTTGAGTATGTGGATTATTTTCAGTTTTTTATTTTTCTGGTTGGACATGTTTGACAGCCTTTTTCCTATGAGTTAATTGCTTGAGAATTTTTTCAAAAAATGGAAATTTAAGTCAAATTTTATTTTTATGCCTTTTATTATAAATTTCTCCACATGTTCTCTAAAGTAGTTTTATAATCTATTATAACCATTATAAGTACTAACATAAGAAATTTAAGGGTCAGTGATAATGAGAAAAAAAGAGAAATAGGAATTTAAGAATGTGTGCATAATTATCCTTTAAACTTTTGAATATATCAAAATTTTAATAAGCTGAAAACAATATCTATGGCTAGGAGCAAGAGAGCATGAAGTTTAACTTTCTGTATCATAAATTACTGTACTTTTAAAAATTGACTTAGAATTGGTTAGACTTATTTAAAACTAAGTTGAAGCACTGCTTTTTTTTTTTATATAGTACATAGAGTGTAGTTTTTGAGAAAAATAACCCATTAAAAAGAAAGTTGTTAAATAAACACAATTGATGATTTCTTTTCCGTGGAATATTATTCCCCTTTCATATTTTAGCATATTGAAAGAATCTTTCAAAGCAGTTGTTATATAACTATTATGTCAATGAAGAAATGTAAGAATTCATTCATAATATTCAAATGCCATTTTTCTTTATTTCTAGTTTTATTGAGATAAAATTGACAAATGCTCTTTTTTAAAAACTTTTGAAATAGATCACAGAAAATTCTGTACTATCCACTGTACTGGATACTTGAGAAGCTGGCCCCCAAATATTGTTGGAATGGAAGAAGAAAGGGACAATAAGAAAGACAGTAATTTCACCTGCCTTGTTGCCATTGGGAGATTATATCCACATATTGTCCCACAGAACAGTGGGGAGATTAAAGTGAAACCAACTGAATTTATAACCCGTTTTGCAGTGAATGGAAAATTTGTCTACGTGGACCAAAGGTAACATTTATATGCCTTAACGATTAGAACTCAATGGGATATCTAAGGCTATTAAAAATGTGGCTTAGCGCTGTTGGACTTTTAAGGCTTTCGAACAGGAAATAAGGTTTAAATGAAACAACAATACGGATATATCCATAAATTCATTCAAGTCCAAATGTAAACTTGAAATATTTCTTAGCGAGTGGCACAGAAACTGGGCATGGCCTCTGGCCACAGTTTTGTTGGCGAAGGGCAGAAAAAGCACACTCGGGATCGGGCGGGTGGCCATGCTGATCTGCAGCTCCAGCCGGGGCGAGGGCAGCCGCAGGGAGCCCCGCGGTGCCCCGGGTTGCTCGCCCCCCAGGCCGCTGCCCCGCTATCCTGACCGTGGATGCACCTGAAATAGTCTCAAAGGGAGTTTGTTCACCAGTTCTGAAGTTTATTTCTAATTTTAAAACCAGGGCAACAGCAATTTTAGGATATTTGCCTCAGGAACTTTTGGGAACTTCATGTTATGAATATTTTCATCAAGATGACCATAGTAATTTGACAGACAAGCACAAAGCAGGTATGCGTTGAGTGGGGTAAGGTTTTGGCATTTTTTTAATGACAGCTTCGACTCAAATCCTCTTTCCTGTGAAATCCAAAACCTGAATTAACCCTCAAAAGTTTGATTTATATAGTGGCAGACCATTACACTGATTATTATTTTTTCTTGTTAAGTTTTACAGAGTAAAGAGAAAATATTTACAGATTCATACAAATTCAGAGTGAAAGATGGCTCTTTTATAACTTTAAAAAGCCAATGGTTTAGTTTCACAAATCCTTGGACCAAAGAACTGGAATATATTGTGTCCGTCAACACTTTAGTTTTGTAAGTAATTTGTAATGTGGTAAGACTTATTAATTTCAAATGAATATCTTTGCTTCCCTTTTCTCATCCTGCTAAACCATTAAACTGTATGGCCTCTGTCTTTATATTACAACTTGAGATATATATTGAGTAATTCAATCACGTTCTGTTGACATTAGTTTTCACAATTAAACTAAAAGTGTGCCCTTGTAAAGTCTATTCCTTTTGCTTAGTATACAATGTGATAGTAAAGGTATTTACTCAAGCATTTCTTAGGTAGGCTTTGTCTTACCCATCCATAAATGATGTGGATGGGGTTTAAACTGTATGTCATTGTGAGAAATTGTTTTGTCTTCCACGTAATTTTGGCATATACATTTTCAAAGCCCTGGGTACTGCATGCGACTGCAGGAGAGCTTGGCTGAGGGGCGAACAGAGTCCAGCCCAAGCACTGTTTGCCGAGTCCTGGTCTGGCTGTCAGCCTGAAGGAAGAGCCAGCTTTTCCTCATTTGCCTAATATGCTAGCACGGCTCTGTTCTAAATATTGGATTGGCCAAAAAGTCCATTTAGTTTTTTCCATAAAAATAAAAGACATGTTTTACCTTTTCACCGATAACTTTATTGATTTGGATATTTTGAGTATATTGGCCACTCCCACGCTTGGCTTCTAGTGGGTAGAGGCCAGGGGTGCTGCTAAACATCTTCCAATGCGTAACACAGCCCCACAACAAAGAGCTGTTTGGCCAAAATGTCAGTAGTACGAAGACACTTCACAAACCACTTTGACATGTTCGATCAGTCACAGCAACTTCTCCAGGCACTGCCCAAATCTTTTTTTTTGCATTTCAGTTGCATTTTTATCTTTCTCGAAATAATGAAGCATAATATGCCAAAAATATTGCTCATCTTCCATCTTCAATATTAAAATGGCAACACAGAAATTAACCAATTTTGATAAGTTTTTTTAAATGCACGCTGATATGACAGCTGTCACAATACAACCTAACAAAATTGTTTTCAAAGAAGTTAAAGGCAACAAAGCACTACTAGAGCCATTGTACCAAAAAAACTAAATGAACATTTTGGCCAACCCAATATTAGCCTTTTTCTTGAAGATTTTTGAAATTCCTACGCTGTTTTCTCAAATCTATTTTCTTATCTACAATAATTAGCTTTTTAAAAAAGCCCCAAAAGCTCCAGCAGTATCCAGTTACCCATTCCAGTAACCCTTGCCTTCTTATCATTAGCATATAAACTGAGAGTTTGTAACTATGACAACATATACTTTATAGGGTAAAAGGGCGTTTGGTACTCAGCACATTAATACTTTAATCTCTGGTGGTGATATTAACAATATACGTATATAAAAGCAATGGGTCAAGAAGCAACAAATGAAATACGCAGAGCTTAAAATAGCTACTTTAACAATTTCCTTCTTTTTAAAAGAAGTCACTGCTGGTGTTTCTAAATTCTAGGGGACACAACGAGACTGAAGCAGCAGCAGCATCGCTTCCTTGCAGCTCTCAGTCATTTGAAGGTAAGCTTAGTTTTAGATGACGGAAACTTATTACTGAGACTGTTGTTATTGCTACCCTCCTTTCCTGTCTTGGAGAGGTAACAGTTTCAAGGTAAAATTGAAAAGACTTCTCCGGGTTACCCTCAGAATTCCCACAGAGCTTTGGTCACACTTTCATTATAATCTAACATGGTATTGCAATCAGCTGTGCGCTCAGCTGGCTCACCACAGACGGTGAGTTCTTTAAGAGCAGGAACGGGGTTCTGTTCATCAGCCGTCCCTAGCAGCTAGCGTAGTTCCTTGTACTTTGTGGCACTCAATCAAGATTCTGTCGGACACATTAATAAAAAACACTAAGGGGGAATTTATCCTCATCTGTGTCAGTTTTCACCACAGGACTTACATAATGTATCACTTGCATAAATAAAAATATTAGGAGATGTTAAAAGTAAAGTAGTATCGCTCTGGCTTTAGTATCAGTATTAAAGTGGGAACTGTCTGTATTCAGGGGTTACAAGTCACGATGTACCCTCAATGACTTTCTACACATTGGATTTATATACATTCTTGAATAAACATCTTAAACCATCATGATTGTTTGTAAGAAAAACATAACTTGCATTTTTATCTTTCTTGAAATAGTGAAGCATAATATGCCAAAAATATTGCTTATCTTCATCTATCTTCAATATTAAAATGGCAACACAAAAATTCACCAATTTTGATTGATGTTTTTTCTAAACGCATGCTGATATGACAGTTGTCACAATACAATCTAACAAAATTGTTTTGAAAGAAGTTAAAGGCAACTAATGAATGTCTCTAACATTTTAGGATATGACTGGTCTGTTTCTTTTAAAGATGGAAGTATTTGAAAGAAATATATCAACCAAAGCTATATACTTTTCTAAAGTCCTCAATTGAATTTTTCCTTTTCTTGTTATTCAGAATCCTCTAGAAAGTCTTGTATTAGTGTGCCTGGAATGTGTACTGGAACAGTACTTGGTGCTGGTAGTATCGGAACAGATATTGCAAATGAAGTTCTGGACTTACAAAGGTAGTGTTTTATTTTTGTAAATACTACAAGTAAAATTATTACACTTAAAAAATCAATATTCAAAAATCAGTAAGTTTCTTATATGCAAATAGTAACCAGTTCAACAATATAATGGAAGAGAAGAACACCTTTATGGTAGGGACAAAAAAGATAAAAAGGCATTTAAGTATAAATTTTACAAGGGGTATGTAGAACTATATGAAAGAGAAACTCTAACATGCTACAAAGGTAGTCAAAGATGACTTTAATAACATTCCAGATCGAAGTTGTCCTTTAATATGAAGTCTCAGTATTATAAGGATGCCAGTGGTCCTTGAACTAACCTATGAATTCAGTGTGAATCCAGTGCAAATGCCATTATGCGTTTGTGTTTTAGAATCCAACAAATGATCCCAACCATATTAGGATGTCCGGGAAAATGCTAAAAAACAAAATTAATATATTAGAACTCTCAGATATTATGTTATACAGCTACAGCCACTAACACATTTCGGTACAATGTACAAATAGAAGAAGAATAGATTTCAGAAAAAAACTCAAGTGCACATGGAAATTTATTATATGGTAGAAGTGGCCATTTTAAGTCAGTAAGGGTAAAATGGATTAAATTGTTAAGAGCATTATAATAGCTCTAATACCATTTGGAAAAAAATAAATAAAGCTAGACCCCATCTTTATTCTTTATACTAAAATAAATTCCAAATAAAGAGTTCAAAATAAACCTATGACACTATTTCAAGAACACAGGTACAAATTTTTATAATCTTAGTTTGGAAAGTCACACATGAATCATCACAGGGCCTGCCCGCTTAGCTCAGTTGTTTAGACCAGGGGTCCCCAACCTCTGGGCCACGGGACCGGTACCTGTCTGGGCCTGTTAGAACTGGGCTGCACAGCAGGAGGTGAGCTTTAATGTGATGTGCTTGAATCATCCCGAAACCATTCCCCTGCCCCGTCTGTGGAAAAATTGCCTTCCACCAAGCTGGTTCCTGGGGCCGAAAAGGTCGGTGACCACTGGGTTAGAGCATCCTCCCAATACGCCAAGGTTACAGGTTTGGTCTCTGGTCAGGGCACGTACCAGAAGCAACCAATGAGTGCATGAATCGGTGGGACAACAAATTGATGTCTGTTTCTCTGTCACTGCCTTCTCCCCCGTTCCTTCTTCTCTATAAAAATCAATACATAAAAATTAAAAATATATATTAAAAAAGAGCCATCAGGCAACGTCCAGAATTAAGAAAAAATTGATAAATTATATAAAAACTCAAAATTTAAGCACAACTATAACCATTATAACAAAGTTAAAAGATAAATTATAAACTTCAGAAAATGTTTCATGTGATAAAATGAACTAATTATCTTACTGTATTAAGTTTTATAGTATAAAAAAGTTACTAAACTACATATAATAAACTTTATATAACTTTATAATTAACCTTGACCTGTATTAAGTGTAAACAGTAAAGTCATTAGCCAACTTTTAAAAACAGTTTATTAATAAAAAGTTGGGCAGTGGACATGAATAGAAGACAATATGAATGGCCAAGAAACTAAAAATTGCTCAACCTCACTCAGTTAAAAATGGATATGTACAAACTAAATGAGATACCTATTTTCCTTTAAAAGGTTATCAAAGATTTAAAAGATTGATGATCAATATTGGTGAGAGTGTGAGAAAACAGCCACTCTTAAATTGTTTGTTGGAACATAAACTGATCCAACTGCTCTGGAACACAATTTGACTAGACCTGTCAGACTCACCAATTCTACTCCAGGAGCCGAGAGTCTTATATGAATGTACAAAGACCTGTGAATGAGACTATTCATTGATGCATTTTTTTTTATAGTAGTGCCTTTAATATTTAAATATTTATCATAGCCATAACTTTTTATGGCATATCCATACAATGGAGTACTCCACAACTGTTAAAAACTAGGTAGCTCTATTTATGCTAATATGGAAAGATACTTAAAGTTAGTAGAAAAAAAGAACAGAGACAGAACAAAAGTATGTATGATAACCTGCTTGTGTAAGAAAAAAGAAAGGTGTGTGGATATGTGAATGTGGGTGTATACAGGTCTATAATTACTCATCTGAAACTTGAAACAAGATAGGTTTTGAACTCAGAATCTTAGATTTTAGAAAGAATATTTTGAAATTAAGTTTTTTTAGAGTTATGTGTAATACCCCCAGAGAACATCGGGGGCAGCACCCCATAATCAATTAAATCTCTTTTTCCAATGAAGTATTTACAGATTAAATGGTAAAATGTCTGGGAAGAAAAGGGAGGGGAGAGTTTGGGGTATATCCATTAAACAGGATCAGGAAAGAATTATTGAAGGTGTTTGGTGTTATGAGATTTCATTATATTATCTGCTTTTATGTCTGTTTGAAGGACGTTTTCCATAATAAGATTTAAAGATATATTTTTGGAGTGAGGTTTTGTAAATACTTACAGTGAGTACGACAGAGTGGGATAAAAAAATAAGTTAGCCTCATACTGGTTAGCCTCATACTCAGGTTTTGCTGAGTTCAGATCAATTTGGATTTTGCTGCTAAATGAATTATGGAAACTCAGCTTTCAAGGTGTTTTTGGATTTTGGAATTGCAGAAACGGAACTTATACAATAACTGCATGATATAATATATAACAATACAAGTATTTTGTTCAGACATTTCAGAATTTTTTACCTCCCGTGTTTGGGACTAGGGTTGAGGGACAGGAGATGTAGAAGAGAAGAAATTTTTGCTTTTCATTTTCTTTTTGTACAGTTTGAATTTTTATTTTAAATTAAAAATAGTTTAATTTGAAAAAAAATCACTCTAAGACAAGATACCTGGGTTGCTTCCTCTGTGAGGCTGTTGTGAATGACGATGCTGTGAATGTGGGTATACCAATGTAAATTCTAGTCCCTGCTTTCAGTTCTTTTGGGTGGTATATACGCAGAAGTGGAATTGCCAGATTATAGGGTAATTATATGTAAATTTTGGAGAAACTGTTGTTATATTTTCCATAGCAGTTCACCATTTTATATTCTCCACCAGCAGTGCACAAGGGTTCCGATTTCTCACCATTGCTTGTTGTTCACTGTTTTTTTATAATAGTCATCCTAATGGGTTTGAAGTGGTATCTGATTGTGGTTTTGGCTTACATTGCTCTAATTAGTGATGCTGGGAATCTTTTCAGGTGCTTATTGGCCATTTGTGTATCTTGTTTGAAGAAATGTCTGTTTAGGTCCTTTGCCCGTTTTCCAATTGTGTCATTTTTTTGTTATTGTTGAGTTGTAGGGAGTTCTTTATTATGGAAATTAATCCCTTATCATATATGATTTGTAAACATTTTCCCCAGTCTCTGGGTTGCCTTTTCACTCTGTTGACTGTGTCCTTTGGTGCACAGAAGTTTTCAATTTTGATAAATTTGACTATATCTCTTCTTCTGTTACATGCACTTTTGGTATCATATCCAAAAAATCTTTGCCAAATCCAGTGTCATGAAGCCTTTTCCTGGTGTTTTCTGCTGAGAGTTTTATAGTTTTAGGTCTTGCATTTAGGTTTTTAATACATTTTGAGTTAAGTTTTGAATATGGTGTAAGGTAGTAGCCCAACTTCCTTCTTGTGAATATCCAGTTTTGCCCGCACCATTTGTTGAAAAGACTGTCCTTTCTTGGCACCCATGTGGAAAATCATTTGACCATATATGCTGGACGGGCGTTTTAAGAGGAGTGGCTAGTGAGCCCAACACTGAGAGCTGGGTGCCATCAGGACGGCCAGGATGCGGTGGGAAAGGCAGTCACGTCTGGAGGCGCATCTGCCACGTATGGAGAGCGGTGGGAGGAAGCATGGTGGTTTCGGAGGACAATACGGGGACTTGACTGAGCGAGGAGTCAGGCTGCTGAGAGCTGTGAGGAGTCGAAGGTGAAGTCAAGCAGGGAGAGCTTAAATAGCAGATTTCTGCCCAGTGGACTGAACAGGAAGAAAGCCATGTTCAAAAAATTAATTTGATATAGAGGAAGGGGTAGTTTTCATCTTTAAGCCAAAGCCAAGTGAGCAGGTGATGATATTAAGCCGCGGACCACAGAAGAGAAGCCAGCCAAGCCATTTACATTGAGTTTCCTGTGAAAAATCCCCAAGGCAGGCTGCTGATCTTTTCTTGTTTTCTGACTTCATTCATTCCATTTCTGTCTTATTTTCTCTCTCTATTTCTTGTCAGCAAGAATCTTGAGAATACATCAAGACAAGATTATGTTTATGCCATTATGTGTTTCACATAATTGAGCATTTAATAATATATGGTACTGTCAGTTCTACATATTTAAGTCTTACGAAGTGATTAGTGATCAAAGGGTATGTTTGCCATTATGTGTCTCATTGATTTTGTCCCTGAGGATGACCTATCACAGTAAAAGTATGACATTTTCTACTTAAAGTTTGCAGAATGTTAGGAAATCTTTTTTACTTTCAGTCCTGCTATTTCTTATCTTGATAAGGAACCGATTATTGATGTGAATGCCTGTTTTAAAGTAAGTGTGTTATATTATTGTTACTTCACCATGTGCTATATTAAGATAAGCAACATGATTTACTTTTGGGCTTTTACCTCAGAGTTTTATGTTTCTGTTTACTACTGTGTGCTTTTTCAGCTCTCCATAGTCAAAAATAAGTCTGATACCTAACAAGTTGGTCTCCTGTGAAAACTGTCGTGATACTTCATCTCATATAACTTCACTGTATTTTTACCAGATTATGATATATTCAGAGCAGAAAATTTCCTTCTAAAAATATAAGTAGAGAAAATGTCTTATGTATCACTTTTTAAAGGTTACAGTCTTCTTCATCCTTTGGTGATTCAAGTCCAACAGATTTAATGAAAGATATTCACACTATAAACTGCAGGAATGTAAGTACAATTATAAATGATGATATTCATGAAATAAATGAACAATGAAACTTGCTCCCTGTTGATTATTTCTCCTGAGAAAAGAAGCCATCCTATAAAAAAATAAATGAACTCTTTTTTAGCTATCTGTGGTTTTTAATAGGCAATGGAGAACATGGTTAAGAGTGAAGGTGCTAGAACCATACTCCCTGGGTCCAAGCTGTGACTCAGACACTGACTACTGCTTGACCCCAGTCTTGTTATTTAAACTCCTGGTCCTTTGATTTCCTCGTCTGTACAACAGGAACAATAATAGCACCAATCTCTTGGAATGGTGTATGAATTGAATGATTAAATATGAAAACAAACAAAAACATAACAGTGTCTGATACACAGCATGTGCTCACTAAAGGGTAGCTATTATTACTGTTGTTACTCCAATTCAGTGGATTAAGTGTGTACTTTATGGTTTGTAAAATGTTTAATGTAAGCTACAAGATAAGTATCACATACTATTTAATGCAATTGAACAACAGCTAGTTATTTGAAATGCATTGGTACATGTACAGAAATGACTAAATATAATGCTAATATTTGGAAGACTCACATACAATATAATTCTTATGTAGTCCAGACAACAAAAAGCTCTAAAATAGGTCTAAAAATGAAGGTGGTGTAAGACTATAATAGAAAAGAGAAATTATATCTGACCAGACACAAGAGGGAACTTGCCAATGTATTTTTACATAAAATATTTTGTCTTAAATTTAGTATATTTAAATTTTACTCACATATTTAGCAAATGTTTATTGGGTACCCATTTTGTGCCAAGCTTTATTTTAGAAACAGCGGTCTAGTCATTGTAACATAAATCTCCAAGTAGCATATGTTATATAGGCATTGTATGAATAAAGCACCTCCACTTAGGACAGTACAGGTAAATGACTTCCTACTTTGATGCATTATATTGAATATTCGATTGTTTGGCCTGTAACTGTGGAACAGTATGATAACTTTTTGGTAAAAGCCTCTTGTTTAATCCATTCTCCACTCCAAAGCAATACTTCCTATTGTAGTTTCATGTGGGATATAGTTTTGCCATCATTTTTTTTTTTAAAAAACTGAAATAACTTTGACTCAGAGCACTGGGGTCAGAACTTTCCCTTCATCATCCAAAACTTTTCCTCATAGTGTATACATTCACAGTTACAGTTATGAAGAATGTGGGCTTTGGAGTCAGGAGGACGGGTTAAAATTATGGCTGTAGTGCTCTGGGCCACTGATTCCTGACCTGTAACACAGCTACCTCACAACATTTTTAAGATGAAATGAGAGGCCGCGTGAGGAGGGCTTAAGCAGAGCGCTCAGTAAGTGCGAGCTGCCATGTTGCTGATGGCGGAGCTGGCGCAGCCAGCAGGCCCATGCCAGATAACTGCTGAGAAATATTTAATTCAAGTAGGAACCTTAGTCTTTATTATTCTGTCTTTTCAGATGTCAGCTAAGGAGTTGATTCCGCTAAGTCCTTCGGAAACGGGGGAGCTAGAAGCTGCAAGGCAAAACCACAGCGCTGCTGCCCCCCCCAGTCAAGAACCACTTCTAGGTAAGTTTTATTTGGCAACAGTCCACCATTTGGTGTTTCCAAAAACCCCTTCTTATCACTATATTTGCAGGCATAGGAGATTTCTAGAGAAGCAAGCAAGGTTAAAATTAAGACTTTTCCATTCAAAGTCCTAAACGCAATAATCATGCTCTTGTGTTACCTAACAGACCTCTCATTGAAAATTCAGTTATAAACTGAATCAGTTATGGGTATTGTTTATACGTACAATTTAAATAAAACTAAGGTATTTCTGTCTAGGAAAAAGTGTCCATTCTCAGGAAGTCGAGAATTTTTTAAGGGGTAACCAATGATAAAAAGTTTAAGATGTAATCTCATCACTCATTTTAACTGTTTATACAAAGTTCACATCAAGTAAATTGAAATGATAGTTTTATACCCCCACTCCCATAACTAACATTTATCTACTGAAAGTTTGTGTTAAAATCAAAGAACTTGAAGGAATTTGGGTATCTGCTGTACATAGAACCACTTATCAATCACCTCAATTTCTATTGTACTTTGAAAGATACCTAGAAAACTTTGGTTAAGCTGTAGCTATGCTTTAACCCGTAACTTCTAGAACTTCTTCCTTATCTCTAACTTAAAATCTCATTTCCATAGTCCTTCCTTAGATCCTTTTTTCAGTGAAAATCTAGTTATTTCCTTTGAAAAGAACACTAAAGTTTTAGAAACGTTTGTCAGCACCTTCTCATTTTTGTGTTAAACAAATAGAATTTTGTTGTTTGTTTAAAAAAAGAAAGCAGATTAAAGTTAATTTTCTCCTTCCAGGACACACACACACACACACTCTCTCTCTCTCTCTCTCTCTCTCTCTCTCTCTTCCAGCTGTCTGAGAGTCTACCTTTTCAGGCTGTTCTTTTTTATCGGGAAAACTCATAGACTAGCTCAGTTACATGTGTCAAGTGAGTTAAGTGCAATTTATCTGACAGCAGATTGTTAAAAGTTTATGTGGCTTTTGCAATTTAAGATATATAGTGTGGCCTCAAAAATGCATTGCATGGTATTCTAGCCATGCTTTGTCTTTTTGGTGGTAATCATTTTTACCTCCCAATGTACTTACATGGGCCTGTATTCTAATTCTGTAGGTGATGGGGCCCAGCTGGATTTTGATGCCTTGTGTGACAATGACGACACAGCCATAGCTGCCTTCATGAATTACTTAGAAGCAGAGGGGGGCCTGGGGGACCCTGAGGACTTCAGTGACATCCGCTGGACACTATAGCATTTGATTTTTAACTCCAAATATGGGAACGGTTTTATAGCATTTCCTTTACAAAAGCAAAACAAAACAAACAAAAACCCCTGTATATTCTTGTGTACCATATGGATACTGTTTTTATCCTTTATTCTTATTAAGGGTGTACCAATTTTCATAGACTTGCACCCACTTTCACAGAGGCCTGGGGAAATGTGACATTTTCCTTCAAACAGAACTGCTCAGAGTTGCCTACTGACCCCTTTATTCAGTGAACTGGCTTTAAACACACTAGCTGCTATTTTTTGCTAAAATATTTCTAACCAAGACTCTCACATCTTGTTTTTTAATTTTTTGATGCAGTTTTTTTTATTTTGGGGAATTTAATATGTTGGCATTTTCCTTGTGTCTAAGATTCATTTATAATTGACTTATAATAGTAGATTTGTATAATTTGAAACATTTCCATTTCTTGTGTATTTCCTCATAGGCACAATGAAATTTATAGTCATGATTACAATGAATACTGTATTTGGTCTTTGTAAACTTGGGCAAGCAGAAAGCCAGGATGTTTATACCCAGTTGAGCACTTTGGGATGGATTTTAAATGAGATGATTTTTATTTAAAACTCAGAAAAAGAAAAGTTGAGACACTTTCAACTTTGCTTACAGAAAAGGAAAGATTTTGGGCCCTAGATGTTAGTGATTAACTGTCACATATATAAAATTTACTCTTAATATACCACTCAAGATTTTCTTTACAGAGAAAACAGTTTTTTGATGCTGAAATGGTTATGTAGTAACTGATAATCTTAGAGGGAGAAACAGGCCCCGGGCAGATTAAATGTTTTGTGTAAAGACACAATTGAATTCATATTTTTTTATTGTTTAATGTGTCTAAACCAGTTTTTTTCTACACACTTGGGAAAGCAGTGGTCTCATTGGTTAAATGATTAATCAACTGATCCAAGAACTAGTCATGGCCTTATAGATAATTAGGCAATTACAGTTATTATTGCCTATAAACAAAGGTCATTATATACATGGTAAATACATTAGAAACATGAGGCAATAAGAAAAAATTTTAAACAATTTTCTAGCTACAATTTAGAAATTTGGAGAACATTTTTTAACTAGTAATTAATCCAGAGGTGGCTCAAATTGAATGCAGGAATTAAGAGTATTTAAAGTACCATATGTATGTCTACCATTTTGAAGATCACATTTCCATAACACCTTATGTTAGTAGCTCTTTCTAGTTTACCAAGTATGTTCCCATATATTCTCTTTTATGCCCCACAAATGAAAGTAAGGTGGGCTGGGAAAACTGGTGTGGAAACCCTAAGGCTCAGATGTGGGGTTCAAATCCAGTTCTCTTCTCTGGATGTTTCTACACCTTTCCTGCTGATTGTCCTCAGCCTCTCGTCATAACAAAGCATTATTTTGATCTCGCGTATTTCTTTAGGCTGTAAGCAATAGATAGGACTTTCATCAGATGCATTAATGGCAAACAAACCAACAGATAATGACCAAAGCAGATGTTCCCATCTGGCGTGATGTTTGCAGTAGCTCTGCAGGCAAGGATGTATCGGTACATTGTCCTCTTAAGAGGACACACTGTTCCAGCAATGTCAGAGTTGGCACCGCTTCTGGTTCTGACACTTGAGGACTTGAGACATCCAGGTTTAAGATAAAGCAGAGAAACCTTACAAGATGTGGGGAGGTTGGTTTGCAGCAGCCTCCACATGATAGTCAAGTCTGAGGAAGCACGAATAATCACATCTGTTCTCTAAGTCCAGGAGAGGGGCCTGCCTGCAGACTTAACACTTTCAGGGTGTGAACCACTGCAGGTGAGGCTTGGCCTCCAGAGTTGACCTAAGCCAGCGGTCTCAAGATAGGTCATTGGGCCTCGGTGGTCTTACAAGCAGGGGGGACAAACCTTCATGATGCAAGGATCTGAGAGGCAGTTAAGAGGCAAGCGGCTGCTGCCTTGCACAGTAGCAGTTTTTTCTCTTTGCAAGAGGAGTTATTCCATAGACCAGTTGAAAGATAACCAATCCGATGGCCTGATCCCTTAATAACCCACTCTAATATTTTTCTGTAGATCTTCCTGCCCTGGACTCAGAACACACCCCACGCACTATATGGTACTGTAGCTCTCTCAAGTTGAGTGTTTTCTTCAAAATGTGTTCTGTTCGCATTTGATAGCTGTTAGGAGTGGCAGATATATTTTTACAGCTTACTCAATATTATTTTTTCTCCTACCAATTAACTTCTTGCATCTTGGCTAAAAATACCTATACATTGAATGAAAGCATCATAAAAAGAATGCTCTACTTTTCTTTCCTTTTTTTTCTTCACCGTAAGAATTATAACAGCCAGGTATTGGGGTGGAAGAAGTACCTAGAACCAGAAGAGCCCACTCAGCCTGAATTTAGCTGTGTGACTGCAAGCAGGTCATTTGAAACTCTCTCTACTTCAGTTTCCTCATTTGCAGCAAGAGGTTGGATCTGAGTTTACTTCTGGTTCTGATTCTGTGATTCTAATCCATAGGCCTGGAGCATCAGGGTCAGACCCCGGCACTGGGCTGCCCAGGTGACAGGGGCTGGCTGCCTGTGGCTGTGGGGCACTTGAAATGTAGCTCATGTAAGTGGAGAAGTGCTGTACATGGAAATTTCATACCATATTTCACATACAGTATAAAAAAAGGAATAAAAGGTATTAACAATTTTACTGCTTCCATGTTCAAATAATATTGGATATACTGAATAAAACATTAAAATTGTGCTTTGGACTTTTCTAATGTGGCTACTAGGAAATTTCAAATTACACATGTGGCACATATTATAGTTCTATTTGACATCTCTGCTCTAGAACATTTTGTTAAGTGAATCTTATTGAAGTAGACCAAAGGTTATATACCATAAATATGATATTTACTTCTCAATGATGCTGTGGCTTAAAAAGCAACTGTGTATTTATCCTTGATTTAGTATAAATACTTGTTTTCATATATCAATTGAAAACTTTTTTTAAAAAACTGGTAAACTTGAAAATGTGATCGGATATTTTATTATAGGATGATAGCCTGAATTCAAATAAAACTCGAGCTATATATTGACACCCTATGATAGTAACTCAGTTTGGAAATCCATTGAGAAAACAAAAGAGGAAAGTACAGAATGGGGTTACAGTACTTAATTACAGTGTTACCATGGGGAAAGGCCATCCTTATGAGTCATGTTCCCTGAGGAATCTCTGTTGAGTCAGGGGTACAGGGAAATGAAATGGCCACTATCTAGTTGTGAGACCATGTTTGGCGGTGTCCAGTTTCAGATCCCGCTCTCGAGAGTATCAGCCACTCAAGTGGGTCATTGCTGGGCTCTGAAATGGAGATGCAGATTTGCCAAGCAGGGTATTGCTGGCAGAGCAAGGTTGACATCTAGAATAATCAGAAGCCATGAAGAAAAACTGCCAAGTGGCCACTAGGTGTCACTTGTCCATTTCTTTAGCGCTTTGTTTTCATTAAGTGATTTTTTTTTTTTTTTCCCCAAGTTCCATGGGGCCTAGAAGAGGCATTTATGTTTTTTGTGTCTAGAATTCGTCTGCCTTCCCGGTATGAGTTATTTTATGATAAATGCTTTTTAAGAGACGGTCCTCTCACATAATATGAGAAGTTTGGTTTGGGGAGCTTTCCAGAAGTGGCTCTAGTAAAAAGCTGGCCTTCGAAAGAGGACCCATCCAACCTGGAATATGCTTTCTGGACTCACTTGACAGTATATGGTTATGTTTGTCACTACTCATACATTCTTGAGTTCAGGTTTGTCTTTTATACAATGTTTAGCTTTTTACCAGTTAACTCACACTTCTCTGTATATTGGTATTTTTTAAATTTTGTGGTAATTATTGAAAAGAGTGAAATTAAACTATATTTTATAATAATAGTTTGGACTTTTTTGTTTAATATATTAAAATTCCTCCAAAAAACTATATTCCTTAACTGCTTTGTAAAGTGGAAACAGTAGGTAGAAGATCCAGTACTCTCAAACCACTGGGCAGAGAGGTACAGGGAACTACGCCACTGTAGACTATTTTGGGTGTGTTCCTCAGGGTATGCTAACTGCTGTAACAACTCTATCAGCAGCTTACCTCAGTGAAGGTTCCTTTCTGTTGACATGATAGCCCAATGTAATCCGTAATGTCTATCTCTCCTCTCTCACTGCCTCTTCCTCTTTCCATCTCTCAGCTTCACTTTCCCCTAAGCTGATTTAATCCCCTGGTGGACCTTCTTCCCCATAATGACACACAGAATCCCGCAGCACAGAACTGTTCTTACACCTGGCAATCTCAGTGAAAAGAGGTCTTTATTTCCTAGTAATTCATACAAATATGTCCATTGATTGGGCCTTTGGGTTAACTGGGTTCACATGGACTTTCCTGTGGTCAACAGGCTAGAATACGCAGATTGGCCAGGATTTGGTCACATGCCAGAACCTGAATGTAAAGGCCTCCTCAAAAGGGAAATTGTGTTAAAAATAGCCAACTGCCCTACAGTCCAGGGCCAGGGGAAGGAATGGGGACATCTGCAGAAGGGACAATGGGAAACTTGTAACTCATCATAGTCGATGATTTCCTGGGATTGTGAGTTTAGGTATGTGAGCCTCTAGTCTTTGTGACTGTTTTATTTGGGGAGAGGGCGAAGAGGAGTAGTAAATTATATCACACGTTCTTAACCTTGGCCACCTTTTCTGTGTAATGTTCAGTGCTTAGTCATTTTGAAAAACCCTGTCCATTGCTTAAGGTAAGCATGCGGTAAGAGGGTCAATGAAGAGTTGCCTTAAATCCTTGTGTAGCTGTGTGTTTCTGGCATTCGATTTATACTTTCTTAAGCAGTTCTAGTTCTTGGCTGGTCATTAGCATTTCCCACATGTACTCCTGCCCGGGGGGTATCTGTTGCATTTTACCTTGGGGGTAAATACATTAAAATTGTGATAAAATACATTTTTTTAAAGGATGTCTCTAAGATGAGAAGCCTGGATTATGTAAACTTTAATAGAACTCACGGAAATCTCATTTAATACTGGTTGAGTGAGCAATAACCCCCACAAAAGCTTTCCGTCTACTGGAGTTGACATCTAGACCAATAGCACAAAAGTAACTGATTGTTTAATTGTTTCAGAGCCCATAGTGTTCTGTTTGATTTAACAAAGATCAAGAGACACATAGTTACAGTGCCTGAAATATTCCATTCTTAGAGGAAAAAATAGATATATGTTAGAGTGTATGTAAAATAAAATTCGTAATATTATTCACTCTAGAAAGATAATTTCTTTCTAATGGTAGCATATTTTAAGTTTTCTGATATTCCTTGTTGAAAATTTAAGAATACAGAAAAGTGCTTAGAAAATAAAAGTCATCTATAATTTCACTACCTACTGAAGATCCACCATTAATATGTGGATCTTTCTTTTTCTAGGCATTTATATTCTGTTGTATTTCTTTTTTAATGTTAGAGTCCCGTTTATACAATTTTATTATTCCTGTATTTTGAAGTATAAAAGCAACACATGTATATTGGTTGAACATCAGATAGTATTTAAAGGTGTAAAATTACCCCCCCAAAAGTCCAAGTTATTATTAATATATCTAAGTATGCGTCTATTGCCATTTTTTGATTTGCCCAGACTGGGTATAAAACAGGAAGCCAATGATTTAAATATTCCCTTTTTATGGAACATTTAGAATGTTTGGGAAGTTTTACTAGTATGGTAGTATATCAGTTAACATCTTTCTACACAAATATGTTTGCTATTTTGTTTAGGATGAAGTTCTTGAAGTGTATTAATAGATCAAAATTGTCCAGTTGCCATATAGAAAGTTCATGTAGTGTTCTTTCCAGAGTTCATTTTTCTGGGTTA